GGGGACCAGGTTTGCTGGTCCAATAGAGCCCGGTGGAACCACTGAGACTATGGCCCCTAGCTGCCCTTCAGGTCTGGAATTGAACCCACACCTGTGGTTTCCAGCCAAACAAAAGAGTTGAACATTTACTTCAGGTAGATACACTCCTTGGAGAGAACAATCATGGGAGAAAGAAGGGCTGCTTATGCACAGGGAGACATCTCAGGAAGCAGGAGTGCATGGAGGGATAGACACTGTGAAGAGGTAACTATGGGGAGGAAGTGTGAAGGGAGCTGTTGCATTGTGGTGAACTGTGGTCAATGTCATGAGACAAAGTGTATGTGAACTGCTGTATGAAAAGTGAATTTGCTCTGTAAATCTCCACCCAAATCACAATTAAAAAAAAGAAGAAGAAGAAGAAGAAGAATAGGAGAGAACTTAATACCTTGTGGGGGTGAAGAATATGCTTATGCATTTCGTGTACAAAGTGGGGCCTTGTTGAGAGAATGTGACTTAAGATGCTTCTACTCAACAAAGCAAGGAGCTCTGGTGGCACAGTGCCTAAGGCATTTGACTGCTAACCAGAAGGTTGGGGGTTCAAACCCACCAGCCACTCTGCAGAAGGAAGACTGGGCAATCTACTTCCATAAAGATTTGTCACCTTGGAAACCTAAAGGGGGTCACTATGATTTGGAATCGACTTGATGGCCATGAGTTTGGTTTGATTTGGGAACTCAAAAAAGCCAGCATGCTTTACTCACTGATTGTACCTGTCTAGTCCCTGAAAAGGAGCTCTGGTGGTGTAGTGCCTAAGGTATTTGACTGCTAACCAGAAGGCTGGCAGTTCAAACGCATCAACCACTCCTTGGAAGGAAGGTTGGGCAATCTACTCCCATAGAGAGACTGCCTCAGAAACCCAAGGAGGGGTCGCTATGAGTCGGATCCGACTCAACGGCAGTGGGTTAGTCCCTGAAAGGCCAGTGGTTCTCAAAGTTTTGGGTCCCAGGATCCCTTTATAAAAATTAAGAACCCACAAGAACATTTAAGTAGGTTGTATCTGTACTGTGATTGTTTAACATATTAGGAGTTGAAACTGGAAAAGTTCTAAAATACAAGCACACAATCCATTAGCCATGAGTGATGATGTCATCACGTCATGAAGCATCTGGAAAGCTCCACTGTCCACTCATAATAGAAAGAAATGGAAAAAGACAAGAGACGTCTTAGTAGTTTCCACTTTGTGGACCCCTGGAAGGAGTTCCTGGACCTCCCTTTGAAATACCCTTGCCAGATATTTGAGTTTGTTACCTTTGTTTTAATAAGATTTTACTTTTAACCTGTTCAGGTTACCTAGTGCCGCTCTGACAAGAATATACCACAAATGGGATGGCTTTAAAAAACAGGAGTTTATTCTCTTACAGTTTGGAGGCCTTAAGTCTGAGTTCAAAGTGCCAGGTTCTAGGGGCTGGGTGAAAGCCCCTCAACCTTGGGCTTCAGCTCTGTTCCTGCTCCCGCCCCACTGGAGCTAGAGGCTTTTCTTCACTCAGACAGTTGCTGGCTGCCAAGACTGACAAGCCCAAGGTTGACAAGTAAAAAGGCACAGTCCCAATGTTACCAAACCACATGGCAGACCATTAATTCAAGTCCATTGAAAATCCCAAGGTCGGCAGAGCACGGCAGGCTGCTGAATGACACGGCTACATGCAAGTTCAAGTGTGCCATAAGCTAGAGACCGTCCCCCAAGGCTTCTCCTTATATACAAGAAGCAAACTATATCCCTGTGGCTGCTTGTGGCAGATCCCACCATGGAGTTGATTGCCAGTCTCATCATGGGGAATAACTACCATCAGCTGCCCAGCCACTCACCCAGGCCCAGCTAAGTTGACCCATAGCTATCACAGTCCCCTACTGTTGCAAGATAAATTCCAAGACTTTTGAAGAGGAGAAAGAAGTGGAAGAAGAGAAAACAAATTTGCTCCGCCAACTTCCTGCAGCCCCCTTCCCCCAACACATACACTTCACCAAACGCTGGACCTTGTGAGGTGGGGACCAGAGGAAGCCTCTGGCATAGACCTTTGGCAGTAAAAAAGGGAACAGACAGACACTCCAGTTTGGAAAATAATAGAACCAGCCATTTTATTTTATTCCAAGACCATTCACCCCATTCACTGAGCATTGGAGGGCGGCAGGAATAAATAAGGAAGTGGGGGGGGGGGCGCTTGGGGGCCAGGGCTATGTCTTGCAGCACAACCCACACTTTGACTTTTGACAGCAGTCACAGCAGAACATGCAGATGGGGAAGTGGGTATCTCGTCTCTGTAGCCTCTGGACCACAGGCTGCAGGAAAGAAGGGAAGAGTAAGTAATGCATGAGCACAGGGAAGGGAAGGGTGGGGTGGCTCAGAGGGGAGTCCCAGGTGGTCTCACCGTCAAGCCGGCCTTGGCTTCAGCTGTGTCCTGGGCCTGGTGGTCTGCAAGCTGTCTTGTCTGCAAAAGAAGGGAGTGTTGAGGATGGCAGGGGGCCTGGCAGAGCACAGAGTGGCCCCCACCCAGTGGTTGGCACCCCACCGTTCAGCTGGAACCCAAGGACCGGCCTTACTTTCTTGTTTGCTCACCTCCCACAGGGAGTCCTCCTCCCTAAACACATCCCAGATCCGTCCCTTTCTTTCCCCACAGTTACTACCTTCAGGATTTCCTCCTTTCTTGCCTACATGCCAGCAACAGCCTCGTCACAAGTGCCCCTGTGTCTATGCCCCCTTACAATCAGTTCTCCACAGAGCAGAGTAAACTTTAGCAACATCAGCCTGATCATGGCATGCCCCGTCTAAAAGCCCTTGCACTCAGAGGGAAAACCAGTGTTTGCACAGTTTCCCACCAAGTTTGCGTGATCTACCCTTACCCATCCCTTGACCTCATGTCCAAGTACCATCTCCTTCACTTACTAAACTGTCTGATCCTTGGGTTTGCCATGTTGCATGGTGTCCCCTTTGCCTGGAAAATCCAAGCTTCAACTCAAATGTCACTTTCTCACAAAGCAGCTTCTCTTGACTGCTGGGCCCATGACTCCATCTGAAGTACTTCCCTTGGTCACTCTACCACCCTGTTTTGTTATTCATGAAACAAATAGCATCTGCTGATCACAAATTATTTTATGTTTTGTTTATTGACTAATCCTCTGACTAGAATGTAAACATTCATAGCAAGTATCTTGTCTCTAATCTACTTTGTTCATTGCAGTATTCCCAGTGTCTTGGATAGCCCTTAGCACAGACTAACCAAACCAAACTCACTGGCCTCGAGTTGATGACTCATAGAGTTCTGACTCATAGCAACCCCACTGGGTTTCCAAGGCAGTACATTTTTACAGAAGTAGATTGCCCCATCTTCCTTCTGTGAAGTGGCTGCTGGATTTGAACTATCATCCTAATGGTTAGCAGTCAAATGCCTGAAGCACTACCCCACCAGAGCTCCCTCAGCACAGACTAGGGACGCAAATATCTGTGGAATTTAGGAGCCCCTGGTCCCTGCCACTCAGTACCCCATCCCTGTTCTTTAAGCAGCTGCAGTGCCCCCTTCCCTGACCTGGGCTTTGCCAAGTTCTTGGGGACCCCCAGCAGTGCTCAGGACCCCCCCTCTGACCCCCACACACACCCAGCACACACACAGGGCTCTGGCTTCCCAGTCCCTGCTGCCTTCCTGGGCCCCAGGTCCTGGAGGTTCTCACCTGGTGGGGAAGAAGCCAAGCACTGGTCAGGCCGGTGAGGAGGAGGAGCAGGAGGCAAGCAGCCTGGACCTGAACGTTCGTTGCCATTGTACGTCTGTTTGCCTGTCTGTCCTGCTGTTGAGCGTAGGACTTGCTGTGGTGTTCGGAGCCCAGTTACAGTCACTTTTATGTGGCTTGCTGGAGGGGCGGGGGTGTTGAGCCCCCTCCCCTTCTGTCCTGACTCACTTCCAAGAAGGTGGTGGCGCCGAAAAGGTGGGAGAGATAAGCGGGAACAGAGTGACAGGGAACAGGGTTGTGTCACCCTTAGCCAGCAGAGGTGTGTCCAGGGGGTGGGGCAGACAGGGCCACAGACATGGACATCCAGCCAGCTACCTAAGGAACTCTTTATCCAATATGACGTCACCCATTGATCTCAGAAAAATGCTCCTCTTTTTTCCCAGAAGTTGGTGAGCAGAAGTATCCTCTCCTTCCCCCCAACTCCTGATGCCTACATCCATGTGTGAGATGGCCGTCAACCGCCAGGCACCTCAGGAGCACCTGGCATGGTTTGGGAAAGCTTCCCACTGCTTTGAGTTCTCTTCACCCATGCACGGATTCTGGTAGGAACACCAGGACAGCAGCAAGGTGCAGGGCTCTGTGTTGGCGTGAGCCCCCAGCACTCATGCAGTGTTTTCAAAGTGTCAGAATCATAAAAGTCCTCCTGGTATCTGGAGAATGGGCACAGGAGCATTACAGTCATGCCTAACAGCTGAGGAGTGCCACTTACATGCCAGACACTGGCCTAAGCACAGGAGCTCTGGTGGTGCAGTGGTTACAGCATTCAGCTGCTAAGCAAAAGGTCAGCAGTTCGAACCCACCAGCTGCTCTGCAGGAGAAAGATGAAGCAGTCTGCCTCTCTAAAGGCATACAGCTTTGGAAACCACACGGGGAAGTTCCACTGTGCCCTACGGGGTCACTATGAGTCAGAATCGACTTGGTGGCAGTGGGTCTGGTTTTGGCCCTAAGTGTATATGCTGACTCGCTTTTTTGACACCAGAGGAGCAGATTAACTCAGCCGGGCCACCTGTTCTCTACAAGCAGCTCCCAGCTGCCTGTGCCACCCGGAGCTCTGCCTGCGTTCAGGGGCCCTGCCTTCTCAGCCACCCAACCCTGCTTCCTCTTAGGAGCCCCCATGTCCCCCCACCCTCATTTTCTTCGCTTTACAGAAGTCGTGCTGAAGGTAGAAAGAGGGCTGGGATCTGGGCAGCCTGACTTGGAGGCCTTTGCTCCTCATCACCCGCTTTTCCTGCCTCTCAGCAGCCACTGCAGGATGGACGTGTGCCGGAGCTGGCTCACACAGGCTCATGAGGGGTCTGTGCACACCTCATCCCAACCCCGCCTTCAGGGCGTCATGTTGGTACCTCCAAGTCAACCGTGAAAGTCTTCACACAACCATCTACGAATGCTTCAAAACGAATGCTTCAAAAACCAGGGGGCATTTTCTGTTGGGAGCACTGGTTCTCCAGCTGGATGGGGATGAGGCTGCCTGCCTACAGTGCCCTCAGTCCTCCACTACCCAGGCCACCTCAGGGTGCACTTGGCCCATAGCCCAGGCCCTTGGTGTCTCTGTCTCAACCCTCTTACCAGGGCCTGGCCCCAATGTTGTCCATGAATAAACACTTCTTCCTGGCTACTCAGAAGAAAGCTACCACAGAAATGGAAGGCCCCTGGGAAGTAAGCTTTGCTCCCTGCCACCCACCTCCCCACTCACCCCACGGCAGGCTCCTCCTCACTCTCCTGCCCAACCTACCCTCCCAACTCAAAGAAGAGCCCTAACACAGGAAAGGCCAGGGAACAGAGACCATGCTCTCAAACAAGTACAAGGAAGAGACCAGTTGAGGGCAGCCAGGGAGGAGCAAGAGTGGAGAGCTCACAAAGGGGACCTGACTGGTAGGCTGAGACCCCAGGAGTGGATGGACTTGCATAGGGGCTGCAGAATGAGGCAGGGCCCAGAGAGTGGCCACAGCTTCACCCACAGGGAGACATGGTAGCATCCCCCAGCCCTGCTAGGTGTCACTGCATCTCGACTCAGGCCAGGTTTCATCATCCCTCAGGGGCAGGGGTCACGGTAGAGGCGCCAGAGCCACGGCTCCAGGCGACAGGCTGACGGGCCAAGCCTGGCTTCCTGGCCACTGGCCCTTCCTGGGGGTGAGGGGCTCAAGGCCAGGCCCCACCATTGGCTGGCACAGGGGGGAGGGCTGCAGCCTAGAAGGGAAGGTCAGGAACTAGTCCTGATTTTAGGAATTGCTGACATGGGAGACCCCAGCCTCTCCCCCAACAACATGGGACTTGCCCTTGATCCCAGTCCCACATATGCACACCTGGGGTGTCAAAGGACATTCACTTCTTCATTCCTCCATCCAACCAAAAGACTGGGTACCAAGTGGTCCAGGGTAGCAGGGGCTGGGCCACGTTTAGAAATGTGAGAGCTGAAGCCTTGCTCTCAGGGAGCTCTGCAAACCCAGCCCCTGCCCACCCCTGAGATGGGCAGACACATCAACAGACAAGGCGGGGGCCACATGGCGCCAGTTTATTGCAGTTAAATACCTCTCTATTTTTTTGTGTTTTTTTTTTTTTTTTTTTGTCCATTTTTTCCATAAAGAAAATTAAAACACACACACACACCCAAAGGGGAGCAGGGATCCAGAAACAAGAGGTGGGGGTAGGACATGGCCTCCCTGCTTAGGTCCAGGCCCTGGGAGGGCCTCCCAAAGGCTCTCCTCCTTCCCATAAGCACCCTGTCTCAGCGCCTCTAGAGACCAAGGAGGCAGCGGGATATGGCAGGGCCTCTGTCCTCCTCCCTCTTGCCTTCAGGCAGGACTAGATGTGCCAGGGTTTAGTGGGGGCTGAGAGAGGAGACAGACAAGACAGATGGGGGGATGTCATTTCCAAGTTGAGGTGGGTGATGGGGGCTGTATCCACAGAAATGCATTACTTCTCCCCATTTTGTTAAAAATCTACTATAAAAAAACGCAGCTGGGGGAGGGGCATCTGTCCCTCTCTGTGCTAAGGGCTGGGGAAGGGGGCAGCGGAGGGCCCGGAGGAGGCTCCTGTTCGCACAGTGGGGTTGGCGTCACTGCCGCGTACTCTCGCCCACCATCTCGAGGTTGTGTTGCTGCAGCTGGGCTCGAAGCAGGGCGTTCTCATTCTTCAGCTCCTCTATCTGGTAGACACACAACAGGTTGCAAGGGAGAGGGCTGGCTCCTTGTGTCTTGGGGGTTCCGGGGCCCTCCACCCAGCTCCAGGTCCTGGCACTCACCTGTTGCCTCAAGAGCTCATTGTCCATCTGCAGCCGCTCAGCCTCCTTGAAGGTCTCTTGCATGCGCTGGTTGGTCTGACGTAGCTCCCGGATGTAGTCACAGGCCTTTGACAAGATCCCTCCTTTACTCTGGGGGACAGGAAAGAGCAAGAGTTGGCACTCACCACCAGCACCTGCCCGGCAGGCCACCTCAGGCTAACTCCTGTGCCTGGTGGTCAGTTCATCTTTCCACATGGGGTTGGGGAGCTGGGCCAACTGCAGCAACTGAGGGTCAGGGAGCACTCACCGCTCCTGTCTTGCTATTGTCTGCGTTACAATCTGGAATGATTTTTGAAAGTTGGACGATCCAGTTATTGATCTTGTCCCTCCGCCTCCGCTCCACTGTGGAATGACAACAATAACAGCTGTACTTACAGCACCTACTGTGTGCCAGGCACACTGCTGAGCAACTTGTCTCAGAAGAAAGCTACCACGCCTCAGGCCCCGTCCCATATCATACAGTTAGGAAGAGGCAAGGCCGAGATTTGAACCTAGGCAGCTTGGCTTCCAAGCCCACTTTATATTTCTTTTCAATAGGAAAGAAGAAGTTCTAACCCACAAGCACTACACGCAACTTTAGGGCAGAAATCAAAGCTGAGGGTGCAGGTTTGTTTGTTGGCCTGTCCAGAATACTTTTTAAAATTAAAAAAATTTTGAGCCAGCATTTAAAAATTGGACAATCTTGCATAGTAACTGGCATCTTTGGCTTCTTTAGAAGAGTGGAGTTCTATCTATACTGGGCATGTATTCTTGGGAGGTACAGTGCAATGCGTGTTTCTTATAAGTAGCCTTTATGGCCTTGGGTTTATAATTCTGCCAAAAATAATTAGTTAGGCCACAGTATATCCTATGATTGGTCTATTTTATGTACCTTGCAGTGATTGGTCAGTTTATTATGTAAATAAGGAGCATAAAATCCTTTTGGGGACTGGTTGATTACTATGCAAATAAGGTGAGTTTTTGTCTACTAAGGGGATTGGTCAGTTTTTCCATCCCACTATAGTCTTATAAAGGCTAACTGCACAGATGTTAAGGGAGACCTAATTACCATCTAGAGCCTGGAGCAGAGCACCTTCGGTCCCAGAGTTCCTGGACCGGAGCTGCAAACAAGTTTAGTCCTGGATGATGGAGCATACACGTTGCATGGCAACCATACATGAGACTTTGACCCGAGAAGGAAACAGGCAGCGGTGCCCCACTCAAAGATGGCAGCCAACATACATTCAAAGCAGTTCAGTTGGCCACCATCTCTGAGGAGTTCTCACATCTTTACGTTTGGTTCCCACAATCCCTACTTGACTGCCCATAGTCCTCAACCTCCCCAAAACTCTTGACATCTATCTTGATTTTGTTTTTTCTTCATCTTTAAAACCCAAGTCTGACCAGGTCTTACCCCTACTTAAAACTCTGCCCCAGCAGCAAGTCCAGTTCCCCAGACAGGCATTTGTGGTTCTCAGGGCTCTGCCCTCACAAAGGCCAATGTGAACCCTATCTTGGAGATCAGGGATGACAAACCAGTGAAGTATCCAGATTTTATTTCACTTCGCAAAACTCCACCACCTCACTCAAACTCTTATCAGGTGACCTGAGTAGCAGCTTCCTCCCTTCACACAGGGCATGTGCACCTGTCCTCTGGCTCCTCATCTGGCCCATGTCACATCCTTATGACACCTGCCTAAAGTCTATACACATCACAGCCTGAGACCCCTGGTTCGAGGCCTATCAAAGCAAGACTGTCTCAGCCCTTCAG